GAATACATTTGTTGTACATGTACACCCGTCTGATGTAAGGTTTGTTTATTATAGAATACATTTGTTGTACATGTACATTGGTCTGATGTAAGGTTTGTTTATTATAGAATACATTTGTTGTACACTGGTCTGATGTAAGGTTTGTTTATTATAGAATACATTTGTTGTACACTGGTCTGATGTAAGGTTTGTTTATTATAGAATACATTTGTTGTACACTGGTCTGATGTAAGGTTTGTTTATTATAGAATACATTTGTTGTACACTGGTCTGATGTAAGGTTTGTTTATTATAGAATACATTTGTTGTACACTGGTCTGATGTAAGGTTTGTTTATTATAGAATACATTTGTTGTACATGTACATTCTGATGTAAGGTTTGTTTATTATAGAATACATTTGTTGTACATGTACATTCTGATGTAAGGTTTGTTTATTATAGAATACATTTGTTGTACATGTACATTCTGATGTAAGGTTTGTTTATTATAGAATACATTTGTTGTACATGTACATTCTGATGTAAGGTTTGTTTATTATAGAATACATTTGTTGTACACTGGTCTGATGTAAGGTTTGTTTATTATAGAATACATTTGTTGTACATGTACACCCGTCTGATGTAAGGTTTGTTTATTATAGAATACATTTGTTGTACACTGGTCTGATGCAAGGTTTGTTTATTATAGAATACATTTGTTGTACACCGGTCTGATGTAAGGTTTGTTTATTATAGAATACATTTGTTGTACACTGGTCTGATGTAAGGTTTGTTTATTATAGAATACATTTGTTGACACCCGTCTGATGTAAGGTTTGTTTATTATAGAATACATTTGTTGTACACTGGTCTGATGTAAGGTTTGTTTATTATAGAATACATTTGTTGTACATGTACACTGGTCTGATGTCAGGTTTGTTTATTATAGAATACATTTGTTGTACATGTACATTCTGATGTAAGGTTTGTTTATTATAGAATACATTTGTTGTACATGTACATTCTGATGTAAGGTTTGTTTATTATAGAATACATTTGTTGTACATGTACATTCTGATGTAAGGTTTGTTTATTATAGAATACATTTGTTGTACATGTACATTCTGATGTAAGGTTTGTTTATTATAGAATACATTTGTTGTACATGTACATTCTGATGTAAGGTTTGTTTATTATAGAATACATTTGTTGTACACTGGTCTGATGTAAGGTTTGTTTATTATAGAATACATTTGTTGTACATGTACACCCGTCTGATGTAAGGTTTGTTTATTATAGAATACATTTGTTGTACACTGGTCTGATGCAAGGTTTGTTTATTATAGAATACATTTGTTGTACACCGGTCTGATGTAAGGTTTGTTTATTATAGAATACATTTGTTGTACATGTACACCGGTTTGATGTAAGGTTTGTTTATTATAGAATACATTTGTTGTACATGTACACCCGTCTGATGTAAGGTTTGTTTATTATAGAATACATTTGTTGTACACCGGTCTGATGTAAGGTTTGTTTATTATAGAATACATTTGTTGTACATGTACACCCGTCTGATGTAAGGTTTGTTTATTATAGAATACATTTGTTGTACACTGGTCTGATGTAAGGTTTGTTTATTATAGAATACATTTGTTGTACATGTACATTCTGATGTAAGGTTTGTTTATTATAGAATACATTTGTTGTACACCCGTCTGATGTAAGGTTTGTTTATTATAGAATACATTTGTTGTACATGTACACCCATCTGATGTAAGGTTTGTTTATTATAGAATACATTTGTTGTACACTGGTCTGATGTAAGGTTTGTTTATTATAGAATACATTTGTTGTACACTGGTCTGATGTAAGGTTTGTTTATTATAGAATACATTTGTTGTACACTGGTCTGATGTAAGGTTTGTTTATTATAGAATACATTTGTTGTACACCGGTCTGATGTAAGGTTTGTTTATTATAGAATACATTTGTTGTACATGTACACTGGTCTGATGTAAGGTTTGTTTATTATAGAATACATTTGTTGTACACTGGTCTGATGTAAGGTTTGTTTATTATAGAATACATTTGTTGTACATGTACACTGGTCTGATGTCAGGTTTGTTTATTATAGAATACATTTGTTGTACATGTACATTCTGATGTAAGGTTTGTTTATTATAGAATACATTTGTTGTACATGTACATTCTGATGTAAGGTTTGTTTATTATAGAATACATTTGTTGTACATGTACATTCTGATGTAAGGTTTGTTTATTATAGAATACATTTGTTGTACATGTACATTCTGATGTAAGGTTTGTTTATTATAGAATACATTTGTTGTACATGTACATTCTGATGTAAGGTTTGTTTATTATAGAATACATTTGTTGTACATGTACATTCTGATGTAAGGTTTGTTTATTATAGAATACATTTGTTGTACACTGGTCTGATGTAAGGTTTGTTTATTATAGAATACATTTGTTGTACATGTACACCCGTCTGATGTAAGGTTTGTTTATTATAGAATACATTTGTTGTACACTGGTCTGATGCAAGGTTTGTTTATTATAGAATACATTTGTTGTACACCGGTCTGATGTAAGGTTTGTTTATTATAGAATACATTTGTTGTACATGTACACCGGTTTGATGTAAGGTTTGTTTATTATAGAATACATTTGTTGTACACCCGTCTGATGTAAGGTTTGTTTATTATAGAATACATTTGTTGTACATGTACACCCGTCTGATGTAAGGTTTGTTTATTATAGAATACATTTGTTGTACACCGGTCTGATGTAAGGTTTGTTTATTATAGAATACATTTGTTGTACATGTACACCCGTCTGATGTAAGGTTTGTTTATTATAGAATACATTTGTTGTACACTGGTCTGATGTAAGGTTTGTTTATTATAGAATACATTTGTTGTACACTGGTCTGATGTAAGGTTTGTTTATTATAGAATACATTTGTTGTACATAAGGTTTGTTTATTATAGAATACATTTGTTGTACATGTACATTCTGATGTAAGGTTTGTTTATTATACATTTGTTGTACATACATTTGTTGTACATTTGTTGTACACCCGTCTGATGTAAGGTTTGTTTATTATAGAATACATTTGTTGTACATGTACACCCGTCTGATGTAAGGTTTGTTTATTATAGAATACATTTGTTGTACACCGGTCTGATGTAAGGTTTGTTTATTATAGAATACATTTGTTGTACATGTACACCCGTCTGATGTAAGGTTTGTTTATTATAGAATACATTTGTTGTACACTGGTCTGATGTAATGTTTGTTTATTATAGAATACATTTGTTGTACATGTACATCCGTCTGATGTAAGGTTTGTTTATTATAGAATACATTTGTTGTACATGTACACCGGTCTGATGTAAGGTTTGTTTATTATAGAATACATTTGTTGTACATGTACACCCGTCTGATGTAAGGTTTGTTTATTATAGAATACATTTGTTGTACATGTACACCCGTCTGATGTAAGGTTTGTTTATTATAGAATACATTTGTTGTACATGTACACCCGTCTGATGTAAGGTTTATTTATTATAGAATACATTTGTTGTACATGTACATTCTGATGTAAGGTTTATTTTGATAATTGTATAAGGGAAGTGTATTCCTGAATTTACTGTTACAAATTCATCAGATTCTAAAAGTCTTATACCATCATAGCAATACTTTAATGTGTCCATCTGTATATTCAGAAAGAAATAAAAATGTTGTAGATAAATAGCAAGAGATGCAAGAGGGATTTTAGCAACAACCATAATAAATTTGTTTGTCATATATAAGACAAATATTTTTTCTTGTTTTTCTTTTCTTTCCTCTTATTTGCTGCTTTTTTTTCTATTAAGATTTTTCCAAAGTGTCCAAAAATAGGAAACATACAATATTGCCTCAGATTGATTGAATGGAATTTGAATTTGAATTGTGATTGTGTTGCCATGTTGGAATTTTCTCAATGTTTTCTGCAAAGTCAAAATCCAAGTTGGCCGTCTGTCAGCCAGTTTGCTTTTCTAATCAGACCCAAAATCAAATGGTCACGACTAGGGACCAAGGGAAACCTACATATGAAATTAAAGTAAGATCTATCCTGTATTTCTCAAGAAATAGCGATAACAAAATTTGCAAAGTCAAAATCCAAGATGGCCATTTGTTGGCCATCTTGTTTTTCTGATCAGACCCAAATGGGCACAACTTAGGACAAAGGGGAACATACGTATGAAATCTGAGGGAGATCCACCCAGTTCTTCTTAAGAAATAGCGATAACAAACTTTCAAATTCAAAATCCAAGATGGCCACTCGTTTTTCTGATCAGTTCTAAAATTCCATGGGCATAACAAGAGACCAAGTTGAACCTACAAATAAAATTTGAGAGAGATCCATCTCTTTTATTTCAAGAAACAGCTACAACAAACTTCATTGAAAAAATCCAAGATGTCAGCCATTTTGTTCTTTCGATCAGTCTTAAAATCAAACTGGCACAGCTGAGACAAATGGGAACCTGCATATGCAGTTTTAAGATCCATCCAGTACTTCTCAAAAAATAGTCATAACAAATATTGTTAACAGACGGATGGAGGATGGATGAACGGACCACGGACGAAGAGCAATTTGAATAGTCTACCATCTGATGATGGTGAGTTAACAAAACTTGAGAATGATCTCACAAGTACTTCTCTCTTTTTTTTTTTTTTTGTAATTCTTTTATTTTTTGACAAGTTTTTACATATTACACAATACACAATATATAAGAGAAACCACACAAAAACATACACACACACTCATCATCTTTATCATCATGCACATGTATCTACTACTTACTGCACACAAACTCACTCATCAACATTCACATCCACTTACACTCACATAGCAAACTTACATGTACTTAACAAAATACTCACACACACACACACACACACACACACCATCACCCACCCACCCACACACACACACACACACACACACACACACACACACACACACACACAAAATATCATATCACTTACACTTATCAAAGATATTTTCTCACATACTCACTCATGAATATATTTATATATATATATATATAAAAAAAACATTATACATCCTAAACAAAAAAAAGAGAGAGGGAGAGAGGAGTAAGAGAGAGCGAAAGAGGGAAAGAGAGGGAGAGAGAGAGAGAGAGAGAGAGAGAGGGAAAGAGAGAGAGAAATGGGAGGGTAATAATCATTATTAAATAAAAATAGCACTAATTTTGTGGAAATTCAATAAATTTAAAGTCAGTTTGGTAAAGTCAAGACCATGGCCATTGGGAACAGACTTGTTAGCATACATACTATAGTTCCAAAATGAGCATCCATTTTTTCCAATTATTCTCAAAATTTGTTTTCATAATAGTGTTTTTGCTGGAAATGTTGTACTTTTGAACATGGAAATGATCCTTAATCTTATTTATAAGAGCATTTAAATTAAGAGATTTTTGTAGACATCTTGACATATAAACATAGTGTTTAATGAGAATTAAGATTTCGTTATCTACAGTGTTAGCATTAGGATGGATAATTCCAAATAAATATGTTTCTTTGTTTATCCAGAAAGGAATCAGAAGAATATCAAGAAGAGACTCAAATCTCTCCAATAGAGTCTGTACCTCTATACACTCCCATAGACAGTGAACGATTGTTTCTCTTTCCATATTACATAGTGTACATAAAGGGCTAGGAATTAAATTAATATTGAAAAGAAAGGAGTTCGTAACCAGAATGTGATGTATAATCCTTACTTGAAACCACTGTAGCTTAGAACTTTTTGTAATAGTAAACGGAATTATTAATATATTTTTCCACTTCTGATCATCAAAGTCAAACTCATCATTCCATTTTCGAATACCAGTAGGGGTTGGTGCTGGTTTAATAACAGCATTGTAGAAGTCTTTGGCACCTTTTTGACTTTTATAAAAAATTTCCCATAGAAGTGGTATAAAAGGCTGAAATAGTCCTAATGGATGGAAGTCATGTTTTCTCAAGAAACACTTGACGGCTGTAATCAAGCCATAATACTGTAAATAGTTGGTATTGATTAAAAATTTATGAAGAAACTCATCAAAGGAGAAAAATGTCAAATGATCAGAATTTTTAATTAGGTCATTGATGGTATATATACCAGCATTAAACCATACTGGATAGAAGACATCTACCATCTACCATCAGGACATCCTTGTCCATCCGCCAACAGGACATCCATGTCCATCCAAAAACACGACATCCTTGTCCATCCACCATCACGACATCAATGTCCATCCACCAACACAACATCCATGTCCATCTACCAACACAACATCCATGTCCATCCATCAACACGACATCCATGTCCATCAACCAGAACAACATCCATGTCCATCCACCAACACGACATCCATGTCCATCCACCAACACGACATCCATGTCTATCCACCAACACGACATCCATGTCCATCCACCAACAGGATATCCATGTCCATCCACCAACACGACATCCATGTCCATCCACCAACACGACATCCATGTCCATCACTGTGTTCAATGACAATTATTACACTGTGGATGACATCGACGTCCACCAACACGACATCCACATCCACCACTTATGTCTCCAGTGCCCTATAAAACATAATGCTTCATGTAACAAATCATAGAAATGATTTTGTTAAAAAAAGTAATAAAACTTTAACTATATTGTACACATAATGCAAATGTAAATTGTGCACAATTGCTGTCCTTTGCTAAGGCTTTTAACCAAGTTTGAATTAAAATAAAATGGCACTCAGATATTTAATTTTCCTATATAAAATCTTCCATCCATGGATAGTAGAACATCTTTAAAATTTCAGTCAAATTGACCGATTTTTGGCCCATATATCAGTCCGTAGCGGTCAGCCGAGGTCAATATGTGCATCTCATCAAACTGTCATCTTATGCTAATAATTCTAACCATGTTTGAAGTATTTCTGAAAGAAAATAAACAACTTACGCTCAAAATGTGATTTTCTTATACAAAATACATGAAATTTTACTCCCTCTCCAGGGAGAAATTGCGAAACCCTTGAGTCATGAAATTTACAATTTTGGTAAAGCTCAATAAGACAATTCCATTCATGAAGAGTATTTGATTCTACTTTATCTGAATATTAAGGAGAGGATTTTTGAAATTTCAGACAATTTGTCCCACTTGACCCTGCCAATCAGCTCCTGGGGGCAGCTGAGGTCAATATGTGCATCTCATCAAACTGTCAGCTCCTTCTAATAATTCTGACCAAGTTTGATCTATTTCCAATAGAAAATAAATAAATAATGTTAAAAAAATATGATTTTAAAATATAAAGAATAGGGGAAAATGTGAGAACCTGGGGTCATGAAAGCTACAATTTTGATAAAGCATCTGAAGGTCTTTCCATATGTGATGAGTATTTGTTTATATCATACCTCAGATTTGAGAAGAAGATTTTTGAAGTTTCAACCAATTTGACACCTTTTGGTCCCGCTCTCAGGCCCCTGGGGTTGGGGACTATATAATTCATAAAATTTCATTGAAATGTGTTCAGGAGTTTTCCAGAAGTCCAAAATGTTAAGAGTTAACAAAACATGACGCCAGACAAAAGGGATCATTATACCCCTGTGACCTTGGATAAAGATAAAGGTCATTTCTTTGAACAAACTTGGTAGTCTTTCATCACAGCATGACACTGGCCTAATATCATGAACCTGGACCATTTTGTTATTGAGAAGAAGTTTTCAAAAATTTTAACAGATATGACCTCTGTGACCTTGAAAATATGTCAAGGTCATTCATTTTAACAAACTTAATAGCCCTTCATTGCAGCATGCTACTCACCCAACACCACAACCATGGGCCTTTTGGTTATTGAGAAGAAGTCGAAAATGTAAATAGTTTATGACATTTACGACGCTGGACAAAAGATGATCAAAATATTGCAATCGTCTAAAACTTAATATATAAAATATCTTTTTACAGAACAGCAATAGATATGGTTGGGCTTATTATAAGGCATAGGCTTATTAAATTATGATTAAATACAGCATTTATTAAGGTTCCATCTCCCCTTTGCCCCTTGATTTTCTGAACGTCGCATATCAACTTGTCTGCGGCTTAACTTAGACATCTACAAATATTCACTAACAGTCACATTTTGATCCATTATTGACCCAACATATCTCAAATTTTTACCAAAGGTCCTCAACTTCGCCCCTTTGCTATATTGCTCATGTCTTATTCTTTACAAAGGTCCCCATCTCTGCTGCCCCTTTGTGACCTAGAATATCTCAAATTCTCACCAAAGGTCCCCATCCTGGCCCTCTGTGTAACTCAAAATATTTAAAAATTTTTACCAAAGGTTCCAATCCTGGCCCAATCTCTGACTCAAAATATCTCTACTTTTTACCAAAGGTCCACATCCTGGCCCCCTGTGTGACTCAAAGTATCTCTAATTTTCACCAAAAATCCCCATCCTGGTCCCCTTGTGTGACTCAAATTATCTTGAATTCTTACCAAAGGTCCCCATCTTGGCCCTTTTGTGACCCAGCATATCTCAAGTTTACAGATGGAACATCGGACCCAGTCACATCCGTCCTTCTTCTGAACAATAACTTTACAACCTGGACAGTACATGGCATCGCCAGATTTCACCAAGTTCTGTAAAAATACATTATCATATATGACAATTTTCACCTATTTCATCACTGTAAATGAGCGTTTAACTGACTTTCTGTTCATCTTGCGGTAAAGATAAAAATATACCTTTAAAAAGAAATAAATAAAAATCTGCCTTTGTTTCTGTTGATCAAATTTTTGCAATTTTACCAAAAACTGATGAATTCTTAACAGAAGACAAGAAACAAGCTCACGGTCACAGTATTCCTTGATAGTTCATTTTTTTGCGATTTTAAAAAATAAAAGAAAATTCAGAAGTTTTTGAAAATATAATCCCCTTTGAAGTAAATATTTTACCATAGTGTTTTTTTAAAAATTTGTTTAAGCTTTAATTTGTGACTACATTTGCTGAAAGTAGTCAAAGAGAACCTTCAGGACTGGGATCCTACCTCTAACATCTGTTGTGTGTTTCTTGCATCTTCGTCATTCTTGGCACGGATCACCAGGTCGTCCTGGTATTGTTTACAGTTCAGTCCCGTGTGGATGGCTTTACAAGTGAGGCAGTTTTCGTGTTTACAGACGGGACACTGGAAAAAGTTGACCATGTCTTCGTAGATACACCATCCCGGACAGTCAGGTGATTTGCAGTGGAAGCTATTTCTCTCCTGACTTTCCGCTGTACTCAAGCTCCGCTGAAGGTACTTCTCAAACAATTCAACTGGCACCAACTAAAACAGACACACAATACAACATTAAGTTTCTAACTGGCAATAAGCCCATACCTGCAAATAAGCCCACCCATTGCTCTGAAACAAAAACATGCTTAGCAATAAGCCCACCCATTGCTCTGAAACAAAACTATGCTTAGCAATAAGCCCACCCATTGCTCTGAAACAAAACTATGCTTAGCAATAAGCCCACCCATTGTTCTACAACAAGAACATACTTTGTAATAAGCCAATAAGTTGTAAAACTACCAAGGAGAAACATTTATTGTTCTGCAATAAGCCTATTTACTGACTGTAAGGGGCAGAGTTTTTAGTGTTTATCAATGGGCCCTTGGGTTTGTAAGAGATACATCTCAAAGTTCATTGGCTGTGAAATTTCTGTGTTGGCATATCATCAAATAACCCTGATCTCGTGTCAGATAAGGTTGTTAATGACTGATCCTCGCTGGGTATTTTGTCGGCTTTTCGTGGCTTTGAGATAACAAGGTGTCATTTTTATACAATGTACAACAACACTTACACAGATCCTTTCAACAGTATTTTGTTACAGCATCATGTTCATCACTTTATTTGCCTACAAAACTGTTATATCAGTAAAGGCAGATGTTAAAATCTACATGCTAAAATTAGAGTTAAAATTACGGTCTTCATTGAAAACATCAAAGTTAACACCAAAATTAACATAACACTCAAGTAAACATCTACATACAGTGTACTTCTATTTGTATTGAAACCATATACATATATATCATTTAGACTGAAGTCTAGACATAGATGAAGATGAAATACGAAGCACCTAAACCTTATAAGTCAAAAATAAAACCTATTTAAGCATTTACTTGTTGGCTAGGTAATACTGAAGTTTTGGCAAGCACTACAGCTGTTATATAGCCCCTTAGCCCATATCATTATAATGTAATAAACTATCAAGATTCCTTGCAATGTGCCTCTGTGTAATTTGTTCATAAACTGTCCCACATAATCCTTGAATCCATGACTCAGAGGTGGAGGGCTAGTTATAAAAACCGCCACACACATTAACCAGTTGAACTTTAGCGATGATTGATATACTGTATATATATAGGAAAGCATTTGTTCAGGGTTATTATACTCTAATAATGTATATGACTTTCCATTTGGCACTCACCCTTAAATACATGCGTAAACACAAATATTTCTACTTTTACATCAAACTCTATCATACAGCTGTTTTAAGGGTAAAACAGACAAAAAGACTTGTTCTGAAATGTTCTCTGTTTGCTTTGAGTTAAGACTTGAAGATTAGATTAAAAGTTATGATAAGACAATCCCTCACCGCTTTGATTTCCCGCTGTTGGAGTGGTGCATTACAGACGGTTTCTGAATCCATGAAGGGACATCTGACGACAGGCTCTTCATTGTGCTGGACTGCGGCCTGGAGACAGTCTCTAGTAAAGGAAAAATAAGCAACATTATATTATATTGAATTTTCCCTCGTGCTTTCATGCCAAATGTTCATACTTTATTACTGTGTATATCATTCTATTCATGTCATTGTCTATATGATAGGACGATTTCGGACTAGTGCAGCAAATGAAAAATGCTCTAGGGTATATTTCGTAAGTGACATATACACAAAAATATTATATGGGCTTATTTACTGGATAACAGGCTGATGATGTGATTATTTGTTATCCATAAAATCATACATTGTTTCACAATCTCAATCATCATCTGAACCCCTCAACATTATCTTACAATAGTCCTATGCAAACCATGTATATTCTTGAACAATAATTCTAATATCTGGCAATAAGCCCATGCCTGGTAATAAGCCCACCAAAACAAAGTACTGATTCAATAGAAATGGTATAAATGCTACAGTAACAATTTATCCTGCATTAAGCCCACCCCCTGACCTTGTATCTTCAGTCTGAAGTGCAATATGTTCATCAAGATATGTGAATCTTAAGTGTTTCATTAGAATTTAAAACTTAACAATGAAGGGCTTTAAAAACAGACCAGTCCTTCAATAAAGCATGTTGCTTGCCAAATATAACTCTTCAATGACTAGTCTTTTTTTATCACTGTGAAAATCTCAGTGGTGAGGAAATTTGATCCTTATCCAATATTTCCAAGTTTCCAGATTTCTTATATTACACTTGAAAAGACAACTTTGAATTATCTTTGTGTAGAATTACTCTACCACGGAACATAATTTTACTGGAAACCTGCCACACGGAGATATTCATTCATAATGTTTGATGTTTCTTTTCTTTATTGCATTATACAGGTAAAATATAGTACAACTCTTTCATATGGTATTATGAAAGTGTCAAAAAAACACAAAAAGGCAGTATTTGAACATAAATGTTAAAGGTTGTTATCAAGTGTCATGAACCAGAAATTGTGACATTGACTATAGTAAGCCAGTGTCAATACATGCAGAACATCAAAACTTTCGTCCTATACTAATTATTCTTACAAAGTTATTTCCAATGAAAAATAGAAATAACCAACATTATGCTCAAAAATGCAATTTTTCTCTGAACATTACTGTAAAGTCTAATAAAACATTCCTCCCCAGGAAATGATGTGAGACTCATTTTGGTAATTAAACCACCTTCAGATGGTTCCATTCATACAGAGCATTTGATACTACCATACCTGGGTGTTGAGAAGATTTTCAAATTTAAGTAAATCAGACCCCTTTTGGCCCCGTCCATCAGCCCCTGGGATCATCTGGATCAATGTGGGCATACCATCAAGTCATCAGTCCTTCACTCACAATTTTAACTAAGTTTGAAATATTTCGAATGACAAATTATGCTCAAAAATTTATTTTTCCAATATGAACTATAGTAAACTTTACCCCCTCCTTACAGAGATATGTAAGACCCTAGGTCAATTAAATTCACAATTTTTTTCCATTCATGAAGAGTATTTGTATTTTAACATATTTCAGTGTTGAGAGGAAGATTTTTGAAATTTAAGTCAACTTGACCCCTTTTGGCCCTGCCATTTAGGGGGTCAGTAAGGATCAGTATGGGCATACCATCAAGCCATCATCCTTCACTCTCTATTCTAGTCAAGTTTGAAATATTTCCAATGGATTCTACCATATCTGGGTTTTGAGAAGAAGATTTTTGAAACTGAGTCAATTTGACCCCTTTTGGTCCCGCCCCTCAGGCCCCTGTGGGTAAGGGACTGTATAATTCATAATTTTGGTTCATTTTAAGCAAGGGATTATGTTTCTGCAAAATTTCATTGAAAGCAGATAAGCACGACGCTGGATGAAGGTGATTGCAATAGGTCATCATGAGACTTTGACTCAGGTGACCTAAAAAAAACTCAGACTGATGAGAAAAGTATTGTTTCAACCTTTGAGATGCATCAATCGCCTCTCAACCTGAAAAGCAATCTCAACCAAGCAATTATGTAGCAATTTTGTTCATTAGTATCATAACTTACTTACATGGGTTAATGCAGAATTTGGAGAATACTGTGTAAGGGAAATTTCAACAAACCAAAATTCAGACAGCCTGTTTTGTAAAAATTCAAATGGGGGATAAGGAAAAAGATATATATAATATATGAAGATTAAATGAATACAATATGACAATGTTGAGGTTAGATGTCTCTTTTTCCTGATGGCATGATTTGAAAATATGTGAAGTAAAAATCAAGTAATTCTATTTTGGGTAATTTTTTTCTTTTTCTTGGATAGTTTTGTATGTTTTGTGTATATTTTGATGGAGAATTTGTTTATATCTGGAGGGCAAATATTCTACTTGGGAAATACTAGCCTTTTCCTGTCATAAAATTTCTTTTCTATGAATTCTTCCATGAATTTCTTGTAATATATTACCATTAAATTTAAATCTCTGATAAACTGAGGATGTAAAAAGATGGGTGTAGGTGCTGTATTTGCATACTAAAGTTATAGTAATTATTACTGAAATGAAAAGAATGTTTAGGTTCAATGACCTTCACATTTCCAGAAGAAAAAAAAGACTCTTTTGTATTGTAATGAAGAATTTCTATGTACATCTGTTTTTAAATACTTTACCATATGACAAAAGATTAAAAAAAAGCTCCACAGCAAACCTATTCAGGTGTAGAACTTGATGCTATGAAACTACATATGTATCGCATAAATTTGAATGAACTTGAATTTGAACTTGCTAACCTGCAAAACGAGTGAAGACATTCTCGTAAAACTACACCTTCGCCTGGTTGTATTGTATCAAAACAGATAGGACAGTCAATCTCCTCAGTGTTGCCTACTAGGTGCTGCTCTTCGACTGCCAGGAGGCGCTCAAAGTTCTCCTGTCGTCGCACCAACTGTTTCTCACGACGTTTGTTCTCATACTGCAACAAATAAAAATGTAATCGTAAATCATACCGTTACCGGAGATTGTAATTCAAATTCAGAAGTATGCATGTACAGTATCAGGTTTATGCTTGTTGAGATTGTTAATCTTGGAACTCATGATCAGAACTACTATTGATGGATGAAAAAGACAAAGCAACTGGCAAACTCCTTGCCAACATCAGACATATTGGGTGTAAAGAGTTATAAGAAATCATAGCAAATGTTACTATAAAAGAACTGATATCTACTGGCACAATCAAATTTCAGACCACTTTCTGGCAAATTGTAGCACAAGAATGAATTAGTGCATTCACAATTAATGCTATATAAACTAACAACAAAAATGCTATTTGCACAATCATGTTTCAGCATAATACTTTCTGCATGAAAAGTGCAACTGAAATATTTACATTTACAGTGCAAGAGTCTTATGGGTATTGATGGTTACCTGAGATAAGCAATATTGAATACAAAGGTTATAGGGCAGTTATCAAGTGTTTTAAACAGAAATTGTGACACTGAATATAGTAAGTCAGTGTCAATACATGCATACCATCAAAACTGTCATCCTATACTGATAATTCTTACAAAGTTATTTTCAGTGGGAAATAACCAACATTATGCTCAAAAATGCAATTTTTCTAAGAAAATCACTGGAAAGGTTAAAAAAACTTTCTCCCCAGGAAGAAATGTGAGACCCATTGTGGTAATTAATCCAAGATGTATTTGATTCTAACATATCTTATATATCAACTTGACCCTTTTTGGCCCAGCCCATTAGCCCCTGGGGCTAGGTCAGGATCAGTATGGGCATACCATCAAGCCATCATCCTTCACTCTCAATTCTAACCAAGGTTGAATAGTTTACAGACACACGACACCAGATGTAGGTGATTGCAATAGGTAACCCTGAGACTTTGTTACACCTAACAAGCAATACGTCCAGAGTAATGACAGATGTATTGTGGATGTATACAGAATATGACTTGCAGAAAATATCTTGATAAACCAGCAAGAGGTAACCTGAGATAAGCATAGTTTAAAAGTTAGTTACCAAGTGTCATGAAACAGAAATTGTGGCACTGAATACAGAAAGTCAGTGTCAATACATGTATATCATCAGAACTATCGTCCTATACTGATCATTCTTATAGAGTTATTTCCAATGGGAAATTACCAAGGTTACGTTCAGAAATGCAATTTTACCCCCTTTGGTCCCGCAGCTCCTGGGGGTTAGTCAGGTGCAAAATGGACATACCATCAAGCCGTCATTCTTCATTCTTCATGTTGGAAAAATGATTACTACAGTGTGTTTTCAGACTTTGTAGAGTTTCAATTATCATATGATTCAATCAGGGAAGCCATGTTGTTTGGTTGACAATGGTTAGATTGTGTGCTGTTGCACAATCCTTGGCCAATAGAAAGTGTCGACCGACAATACAACAAAGTAGCCATTCATACAGTAGATATATATATATGTTTATGTGCATATTAAACATTGTCTCTCATCAACAGACAGCCTACAAGAGCACAGACTCATTTGTAAACATTTTATAGTGAATTTTACAATCGTGCTAGGTAATACTGAATTAGCCAACTAAGTGCACATTTTCCAACCCTGGTCAGGATCAAAATCCAAAACAGGTGATCTGGGTACTCGTTACAGCCCCCACTAAAAACACATCAAAAATACCTTTTCATTTCAGTAATAATTACCATAACTTTAGTATGCAAATACAGTACCTACACCCATCTTTGTATCCCAACAATAAAAGATTCAAAAGAAAAACAATCCCGCCCTCCCTACGATCCATGAGCCATCACGGCAGGAACGCAGAGTGATCTCCCTTCCTCTTACCTTTATGGCTGCCGACGAGTGCGGAGGTGTCTGAGCTAAGTGCTTTTCTTACTCCTTCTCTTCGTACTGCCATTGTTGTTTGAGTATATTGTTACTCTATTAGTAGTCTATAAACCCATCTCCCAACTTATATTGTGAAATTAAGTATTGTCATTTGTTTATTTTGACCGTATTTCCGGCCGTTTTTTCCTCCACGTATTCGAGTGCGTGACTACTTGTCTCGTTGCTCGGATTTGCGTGAAGTTGAAAATTTGTTTTCTTGCTGCTTTGTCGGCCGTGTTGTACGGCCGTTTTATTTATGCAGTGCAATCTTGCTGCGTACGGTAGGCTTTGTGCTCTCGTTCGTAGTTTTTTTTTTTTTTTTTGATTGTTCGAGAACTTCGTTTCCGGCCGTGTTTTTCCTCCGCGTGTTCGAGTGCGTGACTACTTGTCTCGTCACTCGGATTTTCGTGAAGTTGAAATTGTTTTCTTGCTGCTTTGTCGGCCGTTTTGTACGACCGTTTTCTTTTTTTGCAGTACAATCTTGCTGCGTACGGTAGGTTTTATGATCTCGTTCGTAGTTTTTTGATTGTTAGAAAACTTTTTATCCTTGTTTTCATTGTTACAATTTTTTATTGTTTCGATGCTGGATAAAGGTGCCGGGTTTAAGTCGGGGGTCAGCGCATGGATGTTCCTATTTCTATAGATAATGGGAACCCCATGATACCTGTCCCATTTGCCGACATTACAGCCAGACCTCACTATGTGAACTTTGTTTGCACATGGAGTCTGCTGCTTAGGCTCCCATGCCTTTCCAGCTAACTTTCCGCCGGAAGAGGGATTCGTCCTCTTCTTCCGGTAAGGGAAGTAAGCTTTTTAAGACCTCCCTCCTGAAGTTCTGAACCAGAGCGTTCCTGCTGGGGGTGCTCTCGTTCCACCGAGCTCCGCCCTTCAGCAGGGGGTGGCTTCCCCTGTCCAGGTGCGTCCTGGAGTAGGGGGGGGGGGGGCAGCCCGACCCTGACTCGGCGCAGTCAAGGGTCGAATTGGCCGGTAGCTCTCGATAGGCGGCGGTGTTACCGTCGGAAAGGGACTTCCGGTCGAGGTCTCTGATTCCTTCAGGGACCTCGGCACGCCAGGTGGCATCGTTGGTGGGGGCCGCTTTGACTCCGGAACTGTGCCTTCGGGTATAGGTTCAGGGGCCACAGACTTTTTGTCAGGATTGTCTGTGGCTACGGGGATTAGTGACACTTGAGTTCACTAATCCTGGTGTCAGCGCGGGGTCTGTTTTCCCACCCTCACAGGCTTCTGGCTCTGGGACTTCCGTCCCAATCCAGATTTCCCAGTGCAGGGTTTCCCAGGGGGTTTTCCTCCAAGGGTTTGGGGCTTCAGGCCAGGAGTCCGGTTTCCGGTCTCCCTTTCCCCCGGGCTCAGGGAGTAGGGGTGCCTGCGGGCACTTATTCCTGGGTCGCCCAGGCCAACCTGCGGATGGTTTTGGGTACCAACAGTTACTCAGCAGTTACGGGCTTAGCCCGTACATGTCTGGGTTTCCACCTGGTGGGAGTGGCGGTTCATCCTGGTCCTTTGGACAGGATGTCCAGCCCCAGACTCAGGCAGGCCATCTTGGCCAGTTCTGGGGTCACTCCCGGCCCGCTGGACCGTTCCCATTCCCTCAGGGGTTTGGGTTTTTTTTTTTTTTTTTTTTTACCCCATGGGTCTTCACTCGTGGAACCCATAGGGGTTGGTCTCTCCTCTAGGAGATGTTATAGCAGTGCGGAATCCCCCCAATGTTCTGCTACTTCGGGGGCCTTGTTGGCCGGTCCTATAAAGGTTTGCCAGACCTTAAGGACTTCCGCCTCCAGCGCGGACCCGTCGGTCTCCTGTTCCCAGGGGTCGGCTTCGGGTCTCCGACCCAAGCCTACAGCTAAAGCTGTTGGTCGCGCTGCGTCCAAATGCCATAAAGAGGAGTTCCCCTCTGCGGAGATGGCTCCTCTGGCGGCCCCTGTTCCTCCCAAGGGGACTTCGGTCTCTATTGAGGAGGAGATGGACATCGAGGGTGCGGGCTCGGCAGAGGAAGACGATGTCATTCATCTTTCTCCTGGGCCAAGAGGGTTCACAAGGGGAAGATGGCCCTGAGACTGCTGAAGCCGAGGCTCAGCATGTGCTTTCTGGGATGCGGGTCCTCCGGGCCAACATCTCCCGGATTCTCAGGGCGGAGGTTTGCCCACCGCCTCAGCATCGTCGGCGCCTGAATCCACCATCCTTCTGGGTTCCCTGGTGGCTCCTCGGGCTTCCGTTCGCTCAGATCGGTCTCTGCCAGAAGGCAATATCATGTCTTCGGTTCTGGCCACGGCCCGGGCTCCGGTTTTAGAGAAGGACTCCTTCTCTACCCGTGCTCCCGGGTTTGTCGGTCTGCAGCTCAGTGTTGGTGAATTGTCGGAGGCTTCAGCTTCCGACTATGCCACACATGATGGGCAGCTGGCCTCTCAACCAGCACAGCTGGAGTTGAGACAGCTGGCTGCCTGGCCCGGCAAATCAGTGGACCAGGTAGTGCTCGATCCCAAAGAGCACCACAGGATGGAGAGAATGTTGCACCTCTCCATCCAAGTTCTGTCATACATAGACTTCCTGACAGTTTGTCTATACAGGGTATCCGATTTGCCTGAGTGTCGGTTATCCGAGACAGAACAGCTACATACAGGACACGGCAGCCTTGCAGGTTCTCTGCTCATCAATGCCGTGTTGGCTAGGCAGTTTTCAGTTCTGAAATTCCGCCCAGTCCAGTAACCCTACCGTTTCCGCTTGTTGAATGCCCCCTTCTAGGGCTCTACCCTGTTCAGGGGAGCTCTTCCTTGGGTTCAGAAGGATATGAAGGAGGACTCGGTCGCCTCAGCACTTCTGGTGAAGAGGTTTCAGGCTGAGAAGGCCAGTGCCTCGCAGGGGTCAGTGCCTCCTAAGAAGAAGGCGAAGTCTTCGGCTGCTCAGTTTTCTGCACAGCCCAAGTCCCAACCTCACTTCAACGGCAACAAGGGGAAGGGTAGGAAGGGTAAGAAACCTCCTGGGGGCAAGAAGAAGGGTTCCTGACTATTTCTGCTTCTTGGCCGCGAAAGGCGAAGGGTATGGCCGGGTGGACGGTGGTTCTCCTTTCCCGGGCTCATGTCCTTCTCCTGCAGGCTCAGGCTCCGGGTGGGCAGATGATTCTCTGGTCTGGCAGGGGCTCGATCTGCCCCATCTGGAACTCCCTGTGGGCGGACGTCTCTCTGCTTTCCTTTCCTAGTGGCAGGATATTACAGAGGACGCTTGGGCTTTTGTCGGTGGTCAGGGAGGGTCTAGGTATTCCCCTTCTTCAGGATTCGTCCCTCGCCTCCTGGCCGTTTTTGTTTCTTTCCTCCTCCCGGGGATTCAGAAAGGGCACGGGTGCTCCAGGAGGAAGTAGGGACCATGCTGCCAAGGCAGAGATGCCCTTGGGGCTCACGACAGCTCCTTTGGTGTTCACCAAGTTGCTGCTGGTGTTTCCTTAACTCCTGCAGAATAGACGTCCACATCTATTTCGACGACTCCCTCATGCCTCTTTTGGTGTGGGAATCGTTAGTGAAGGACACTCGTCTGGTCCTGAAACTCTTGCTCAGAGTCGGCTTCATTCCATCCAGAGAGAAGTCAGAGGTTCCTTCATATTAGGACTTCTTCTTCCTGGGGAACCATTTTGACATGGTTCGGGGCTTAGCCCTTCCACCTCTGGAGAAGTTTGAGAAGGTCAGGGCTCTGGCTCTGACTTTCATCACTTGGTCGCTTGTCCAGGTACATTGGTTCCTCAGTTTTCTGGGGTATCTTAACTCCTTGGCATATGTGGTCCCCCTAGGGAGGATTCACATCGGACCTCTCCAGATGTTCCTCCTGTCTGACTGGGTTCCGTCATCCAGGAGGCCTGGATCCCACTTACCCAGTCGGTCAGGGAGTTCTCTTGCTGGTGGACCATTCAGGAGAACGTTTTCCACACACCAAGCCTATCCCCTCTATGATCCTGTTCATGGACGCGTTCATGACAGGAATGTGAGCTTACCTCGATGGCCAATGCCGCTTGGGGGAGTGGTCTGGCGAACAACTCTCGGAGCACATCAGTGTACTCGAGATGAGACTGTTCATTTGGCTCTGCAGTCCTTTAGGGGTATCCTGCAGTCCAAAGTGTGGCTACCGACAACAGTTGTCGCATATCTGGAGAGACAGGGGCCACCAGGTCTCATGTCCTGTGTGCCCTCTCCATCCACATCCATCTTCTCTGCCAGGACATGCAGTTGACCATAGCACAAGCATCTTTCTGGCAGGCTGAGTGTGTTGGTGGCCACTCTCCAGGCGCCACCAGCCGGTGTTGACGGAATGGCAGCTGTGTCCCATGATTTTCAAGGGGAATTGTCAGGCGTGGGACAGACCTATTATAGACCTGTTTGCCACTTCCCTGAACAACCAGCTGCTAACCTTCGTCTCCCCGGTCCCAGACCGTAAGGCGTGGGCTGTGGACGCCCTTTCTCTGCATATGCATTCCCTCCCTTCAACCTGGTGGGCAGGGTTCTACAGAAGTTCTGGGAGCATCACTGCTCCTTACTTCTGAGAGCCCCTCTGTGGCCGACACTTGGTTTCAGGAGCTCTTGTCGTTTCTGGTGGAGGAGCCCTTGGCTCTCCCCACCAGACCGAATCTCCTTCGCCAGCCTTGGCCCAGAACGACACACACTTGACCAGAGATCCTCCACCATCACGCGCTGAGGCTATCTCTGGAAGCCACGCACAAGGCAGGCTTTTCTCAAGAGGTGTCAGATTGCACACAATCAATCAGGGCTTCCTCTTACTGCCGTCTACCAGTCACGTTGGATGATCTTCTGTGATTGGTGTGTCGGCAAGGACACATTCAAGCCTCTGCATTTGATTGCGGAATTCAATCTCTCTGTTTAGGTACCGCTATCTGCCATCTGGCACTATTGCTAGCTATCGTACAGCTATTGCCAGAGTTCTTGCTTGTTATGGCAGGAAGGAGATCGGTTAGTCCTCCTCTCTTTCTGCCCTAATCAGAGGCTTTGCTATGAATAGAGTTGTTTTTAGCGAAGAATCAGGTTCCGGGGTTCTCGCACGATCCCATCAGGATCCTGGCTGTGACTAGCTCGGAGGAGCGAGATAGGTTGCTTTGTCCTTGTCGGGCTCTTAGGTTTTATCTTGATAAAACCAGGGGGGGGCGGGGCTCTCGATCCCGTCTGTTTTGCCCATTAAACAGGGGCAACGAGATATCTCCTCCCAGTCGGTTTCCAGGTGGGTTTGCCAGGTGATTTAGTATGCTTACGAGCATTTTGATGATCTGGCTCGGGCGAGAGCGAAAGTGCGGTCTCACGAGGTCAGGGCCCTTGCTTCATCCTGGGCCCTTCTCTCAATGAGTCCTCCTTTCAGGAGGTCATGTCTGCAGTATTCTGGCAGGGCAGGGATACCTTAACAGATTTTTATCTGTGATCCCTAGCTTCCCACTCAGAAGGCCTGTATTCATTGGGACCTTTGGTGGTGGCATAGTCAGTGGCTGGGCCTCCTCGTTAGCCCCGGGCCATGTCTTTCCGTACGGCGGAATGTGGGTACACCTGCTCTTTCACAGAGAGGTCCCTTCCTTCACTTTAGCACTCTGTTCTCCCTCCCTACTACTTTGGTTGTGCTGAAGGGGCTGCCTGGCTTCTAGTCACCACTACGGTAAGACGAATTCGCATACTAAAGTTATGGTAATTATTACTGAAATGAAATTGAGGTTTTTTAATGTAAAACCAATTTTCATGATGTAATACTTACCATAACTTTATGGAGTCCCACCCTATCCTCCCCTCTTCCTTATCTGCCTGGCTGCCCCTCTGTGGGGTTTACGCCATAAAGGTTATTAGAGGAAGGGAGATCACTCTGCGTTCCTGCCGTGATGGCTCATGGATCGTAGGGAGGGCGGGATTGTTTTTCTTTTGAATCTTTTATTGTTGGGATACAAAGATGGGTGTAGGTACTGTATTTGCATACTAAAGTTATGGTAAGTATTACATCATGAAAATTGGTTTTACATTAAAAAACCTCAAGTCTATAAATACCATAATTAAATAATATATATCTGTCTGCAAAGACCACCTCTATATAAAAAAATACCTGTCTACAAAGACCACCAATTTATAACAAATACCTGTCTACAAAGACCACCAATTTATAACAAATACCTGTCTACAAAGACCACCAATTTATAACAAATATCTGTCTGCAAAGACCACCTCTATATAAAAAATACCTGTCTACAAAGACCACCAATTTATAACAAATACTTGTCTACAAAGACCACCAATTTATAACAAATATCTGTCTGCAAAGACCACCTCTATATAACAAATACCTGTCTACAAAGGCCACCAATTTATAACAAATATCTGTCTGCAAAGACCACCTCTATATAACAAATACCTGCCTACAAAGACCACCACTTTATAACAAATATCTGTCTGCAAAGACCACCTCTATATAACAAATACCTGCCTACAAAGACCACCTCTATATAACAAATACCTGTCTACAAAGACCACCTCTATATAACAAATACCTGTCTGCAAAGACCACCTCTATTTAACAAATACCTGTCTACAAAGACCACTACTATATAACAAATATCTGTTTACAAAGACCACCTCTATATAACAAATACCTGTCTCAAAGACCACCACTTTATAACAAATACCTGTCTTCAAAGACCACTACTATATAACAAATATTTGTCTACAAAGACCACCATTATATAACAAATACCTGTCTACAAAGACCACCTGACAACATCATTCTGTAACAGTTGTGATCACTCATGATCATTTAATTACCAGAATTAACAGTGGCATGATTTCATACAATCTGCTCTATGGTATGTTTGCTTGATCTGGACATGTCAAATAAATTTCGGTCTTAATGGATATTTGTTACAAATTTGGGTCTTCATGGATGAGTATTATCTGAATGTCTATGACCAATGTCTGATTACTTGAATATCCCATAATCCTCAAATCAATAGCATATGTTCAATAAGTTCGACTTAGGCCACACACAAGGTATTTACTGGGATCAGGCCACACACAAGGTATTTACTGGAATCAGGCCACACACAAGGTATTTACTGGAATCAGGCCACACACAAGGTATTTACTGGAATCAGGCCACACACAAGGTATTTACTGGGATCAGGTCACATACAAAATGACTAACACTTACCCTTTTTACCTCTTCTTCTTCCAGCGATTCTTGTTGCAATCTTCTCTTTTCATCATCAGTTGGCACATAATTTGGGGGCACTTTGTAATCTGGTGGTCGAGGACCAGCACAGATTTCACATCCTGGCCGTAACGGCTGATTGACAAAGGTACAGGCTCCACATGTCCAGCCTACCTTCTGTAAAAAGAAGAAAATGTAAGCAAACATTTCTAACTACAGTTATAAGTTTAATGTTACAAGTGCCTTTGGAAGTCCTTGAAAGCCTTCATTTTCCTTCTTTAAGGACTCGATGGTTTAACTTTTTCAGAAGTATTTAGTCATCAATAGATTTTTTTTCAATATTTTACGATATGCCAAATTATTTCTTTTACTGGTGTCCAATACATTAGTGTTTAAAACTAGATTTCCTACATCAAATATATATCTTATTTGGTTTGCTAAACATTGCCAAAAATATGGATCAGTATATTAGAAATCCAGTTATTAATACCAAAATCACTTTATCCATCATCTCTGTGTGATGTAGACTTAGGCCAGCACTTGGGTTTTTGTGAAGTTCAGACTGAGGAATGTCAGTACTTGGGTTTTTGTGAAGTTCAGACTTAGGAATGTCAGTACTTGGGTTTTGTGAAGTTCAGACTTAGGAATGTCAGTACTTGGGTTTTTGTGAAGTTCAGTTTTAGAAATGTCAGTACTTGGGTTTTGTGAAGTTCAGACTTAGGAATGTCAGTACTTGGGTTTTTGTGAAGTTCAGTTTTAGGAATGTCAGTACTTGGGTTTTGTGAAGTTCAGTTTTAGGAATGTCAGTACTTGGGTTTTTGTGAAGTTCAGACTGAGGAATGTCAGTACTTGGGTTTTTGTGAAGTTCAGTTTTAGAAATGTCAGTACTTGGGTTTTGTGAAGTTCAGACTTAGGAATGTCAGTACTTGGGTTTTTGTGAAGTTCAGTTTGTCAGTACTTGGGTTTTTGTGAAGTTCAGTTTTAGGAATGTCAGTACTTGGGTTTTTGTGAAGTTCAGACTTAGGAATGTCAGTACTTGGGTTTTTGTGAAGTTCAGACTGAGGAATGTCAGTACTTGGGTTTTGTGAAGTTCAGACTGAGGAATGTCAGTACTTGGGTTTTGTGAAGTTCAGACTGAGGAATGTCAGTACTTGGGTTTTTGTGAAGTTCAGTTTTAGGAATATCAGTACTTGGGTTTTTGTGAAGTTCAGTTTTAGGAATGTCAGTACTTGGGTTTTTGTGAAGTTCAGACTGAGGAATGTCAGTACTTGGGTTTTGTGAAGTTCAGACTTAGGAATGTCAGTACTTGGGTTTTGTGAAGTTCAGACTTAGGAATGTCAGTACTTGGGTTTTTGTGAAGTTCAGTTTTAGGAATGTCAGTACTTGGGTTTTGTGAAGTTCAGACTGAGGAATGTCAGTACTTGGGTTTTGTGAAGTTCAGACTGAGGAATGTCAGTACTTGGGTTTTGTGAAGTTCAGACTGAGGAATGTCAGTACTTGGGTTTTTGTGAAGTTCAGACTTAGAAATGTCAGTACTTGGGTTTTTGTGAAGTTCAGACTTAGGAATGTCAGTACTTGGGTTTTGTGAAGTTCAGACTGAGGAATGTCAGTAATTTAGTTTTTTGAAGTTCAGCCTAAGTTTAACTTTGAAAGTCTAATCCTCAGGTTGAGTTGCATCATCTATTAAACTTACATGGACTCAAAGACAAAGCAATCAACAGAAGTATTGTGAAGACATAGGTACTGAGAGTTCACCTTGTGATCAATCATGTTGACTTTTCCCAACTCTCCCATCAGAGGTAGCTTTGGTCTTGCTCCATCCATTGGAAGGTCTGATAGATATAGATGTTCTTCTTCCTCAACAGTGGCTGCCCTTGATATTTGACCTTCACCTTCAGGCCTGCTGATTGACATTCGGCCCATGGCTTTGTTTATGAAAAGCAGCCCTGGGGTGGAGTTTGGATTGACTTGGGCTGGGGAATTTGGAGCAGGGCTAGGTTTACCTATTGAATTCCTTTTTACTTTAGCATGTTGATAATCTATGTCAACAGAAAGCATTGAAATATGTATTGCATGTATTTGACAATATGTTAATGTTAAAAATGAAAATTTAATGAAAATTAATTTAATGTAAACAGGGATCTAGTACATACAGACAATGATATCTAAAAATGTATTTTAAATAGTTTGAAAAACATTTAAATCATGTTTTGACCTTCATCTAACTTTTTTCACTTTTGGTTTGTGAGTCATTAATAGATATAGATCCGTTCCTTAGATGTAATCAACCTAGACCATCTGTTTTACCTTGTTCCATGATCTGGAGTAGCATCCCATCATTCATCTTGGTTCCCTTGGTGATGTCTGGGTTGGTGTGAATGAGGTAAAGAAAAATGACACTGCCCTCCATAAGACTATACTGTCTAAGTGTGTCAAGGTCACTGGGCATGACCTTCCCAATCACCCACTGCTGGATCTCCACCGGAAACTTGTGAAACTCGAACATCTGCAACCAAACAGAATCATTACATCTTTGCATACTCTTGGTGAATTAGCTGGTTCCATTGGGTTGGTTTTGATGATACAAATTTTCATAGTTTTACCAAAACTGAAAGCAAACAGGATGTATTTCACACAGAAGTCAGGGGTTGAAATGGTCCAATTGGTTAGAGGTTTGGCTTAAAGCTGGCAATGCAAATTAAAAAGATTTCATTTTGAGATTAAAAAAAAAAATCTCTCTCCAAAGAAATGTCCCCTATAATATGTTCCAGTACTATACCTACGCCTTGTTTAGAAATCAGTATGGATATCCCAGGGTATAAAAGGCTTACAATCTGTCACCTTTATAAAATGATTTAAGAACAATACTCTGAAAAAGAATAAAAAAAACCAATAGCTAGACTCAGGCTGTCAGCCAAATCTTCTTCAAAATATAGGAAGAATTTAGGAATATTTTTCAAAATATAGGAAGAATTTAGGAATATTTTTCAAAATATAGAAAAATATAGGAAATATAGGAGGTCTTTCAAAATATAGCTTTTTGAACTAAAATATAGGAAAATATAGGGATATAGGAAAACAATGGAAAATATAGGAAAATATAGGGATATAGGAAAACAATGGAAAATATAGGAAAATATAGGGATATAGGAAAACAATGGAAAATATAGGAAAATATAGGAAAATAGGAATCAGTTGACAGCCTGTAGACTTTTCCACTTGGCAATAAAGAATCACCTGATAGCATTTTTAAAATTATTCCCTTTACATAACACAATAAATGGGCAATTTAAAAAAATTAATTGTTCATGTATCTTTAATTAAAGCATATCAGTCCAGAAAATTAGTCACTAGAATTGTTTTTGTCACATAATCCACCTCTTATCTTGAGTGAGTTCACCTATACCTCTTCTCAAGAAGTACTTAAACTGTTGTTTTAATGGTATAATGGTGAGGAGATCCAATAAATTGTAGACATGGTTACATCATTTCAACTTAAGATCAGTGCTCCCAGCATTTCAAAACTTTCCAAGACTGAGTAATCATATGTCATATGATGTCTTAAAATGATCTTTATCAATTTTTAAAAAAAAAATTTTATATCTTTTTATTTTTTCAAGCATATTTAAAAAGATTATATTACAATGTCCTGGAACACACTTGAGCACACATACTTATTCTTTCTCACTCATACAGATCCTCACAACACATCCACACAACCGTCGTCGTCCTCCTCCTCCTCATCATCATCATCATCCTCATCCTCATCCTCATCATCATCATCATAAACAGGAAATATCATCATCATCATCATCAATTTTTTTTTAATTATTCCATTTCAGAATAATTTATTGTCATGATTTTAATGACAAAAGGAATTGGGCAACAGTAGGATGGTAAGGTGATTTGCACCTGCATTTCTGCAGGTCATGCAAAAAATGCAAATCTTCCCTAATAGTTTGTCTTCTTTTTTTTCATTTGTCATAAATTATACATCCGAACCAGTTATTGACCACCAACGGAGACTTAAAACACACAAAAGCCCTGTAACATTGAGGAAGTGTTTTCTGAGTGGCATGTGTGTAAGTGGACGGAATACTGACATTAATACAAAGACCAGAATTATTGTTCAGGTAGAATTTATTCAAATACTGTTGGAATTAAGATTCCACGCCGCCAAACAAAAGGTAAAAGGTATTGAATATTGTACCTGGAGATCAACTTTCAAACAGCTGAAATGGGGCATAACACTGGGTCTAACATCCTACTTTATGCTATCATATATCGCATAGCTCTTACACAAGTCTGTCACTTACAAAAACATTCGCAGGTAGAGGGTTTGTATAGACTTCAGCCTGTTGCAAAATACACATTGAAATTGTATAAAATAAAATCTTCATGAAATAAAAAAAAAAGAATGCAAACAATGCGATGATAGACTTTTCTATTATTCCTGTGATATTTTAGCACAAATCTTTTTGTAAAATACTTTCATTTCTGCAAAAGAAAGAACTGCTGCAGAAGAAGAAAACTCACCTTATAGACGTTTATCAATATCAATCGTAAAAGATGAATGTATATTTAGTCAACTTTGTCAATATACATACATTATACAATTATTTTTCTGTCAAACTGCAAGTACCTGTCCATATTGTACTGAGAAAATGATGCCTTTCAACACCTGAACATGACTAACTGACATAAAACTTCTGTTTGAACATATTAGTCAAACAGATTTTTTTACACAAAATCTCTTGAATTAGACTCAATAAAGCGATAAGTTAAACACTGTAACTCTGATTCTATATAGCAGTCTTGAATTCTAATTGTTAATATATTTAACTCTTAACCCTAATTTTTAACTTAGAAGATGAATTTGTATTTTAAGTCTGTGGTGAAATTATTTGTTTAATTTTACAATCAGTATCAAAATAGGATCATTTAAGTGACAAGATTTTATTTAAAACAAGGGGCCTTAACAGTCACCTAAGGAATATATGTCAATAATCTGGGGATTTTAAAATGTTGCAAAAATGTAACAACACTTGTGCAGGACCAAGTTTAAACATGACCCACCCAATAGTTCTTGAGAGGAAGTCCATAATGTCTTAGCCAAACAGGGGCCAGGGTGACCATCTTGGATTTTGAATCGCCCCAAAAAGTTAAAACACTTGCCAGGACCTTGTGTAGAATATTTGTATCAAGTTTCCCCCTTTTTCCCCCTCCTGGGGCCCCTATTGGGGTCACCCCCTTTTTCTTCGCAAACTTGAAGCGGCTTCCCATGGGGATGCTTTGTGCCAAGTTTGGTCAAAATCCATCTATTGGTTCTTGAGAAGTAGTCATTTAATGAAGGTTTTTACATATGGCCCCTTTTACACCCTTTATGGGCCCCAAAGAGGACATAATCACTTTTTTCAACATAATTTCATATGTCCTTCACTAAGGGATGCTCTCTACCAAATTTGGTTGAAATCGGTCAAAGTTGAATTTTTGACCCTTTTTAGCGCCCCCTCAAGGGCCGTTCTTGACCCCATTTCTTTTTTCATTCGCAAACTTTGTAGACCTGGCCATAAGGACCTTCAATATCAAATATGAATTTAATCTGACTGTTGGTTCATGAGAAGAAGATTTTTAAAGATTTACCTAATTTTACACCCTTTTTCCCCCTCCTGGGGCCCCTATTTAGGCCATGCCCTTTTTCTTCGCATACTTTAAGCGGCTTCCCATGGGGATGCTTTGTGCCAAGTTTGGTCAAAATCCATCCAATGGTTCTTGAGAACAAGTCGAATATGTGAAAAGTTCATGACGCACGATGACAGACAAATCATGATGGCAATAGGTCACCATGAGCCTTCGGCTCAGGCGACCTAAAAACCCTTTAAAATGCAGTCTCAATTAATAAGATTTTCACTTTGTAATTGAAATTGGTTTTTAAGATTGTAATTTGTTACACAAATCTGGGTATGAATGAACATATATGATATACACAGACTTCCATGTGATACTACATCATACATTTTTTTCTTCAGTCAGAAACGTATGTATGTGTATACTGTGTATTTTGTTACAAACTGAGTGTCTATACTTCAGTCAATGCCTCCTAGTTGTTAACTTTTCATGTAATATCCAATGAATTCATTCGTTTTATATTTGAACGTCAGCCAATAGAAAATTGTCTTAGTAAGATGATTTTGTAGCTGATACCGCCAGAACTGCTAATATTAAGAGTTTCTTTCATGTCATCATTTGTGTAAGTTTACTGAAAGATTCAAGAACAGAGATCTAGCTTTAACAGACTTCAGTGTGCAGAACTCACATCATCCACTGATGAGGCTTCAGCTGATGTGATAAACCTTGACAATCATGTGCTACGCACCATGAAGTTAGATCATCTCTCAGGAATATAAGCAAATTTCATTTTTCACAAAATCCTGTTTCTTCACAGACAAAAAAAGACACAACAAAATACTAATGAAGGAATTCTGGCTTCAGGAGATGTTCCTCGATTTTTTCCCCTCATTATATTCGGAATCATGTAACCTGTTATGAAGTTATGGGATTGTGTGTAACACTTAGTGGTAAGTCGTCACTTTGCATTTGACGTCTATGTATTGAAACTTTTAAAATTCATATCTTTGATATATTTTCACTGTTCTTTAAATGTCTCCATTAGTTACAGATAATAATCAAACACAATGATATGTCAAATGGGTGTCATTGTAACAAAATGTTTTTATTTTGAAAGAGATTTGAAAAGGATAGATTAAACCTAATCTGTATAAAACGTAGTTGATGAAATCCAGATTAAAGATTGAAATACTGATCACAGACCTCACAGTCCAAATCTACCTGGCAGTTAAAAGACTTCAAAAATCTATATTATCCCAGACATTTCCACTTGGCTCTCTGTGAATTTGACTCGAAAATATTTGTACCACACAAGTTTTGATTAAAATCTTAATTGAATTTAGAATTTTTACAGTATTTATTTATCACAGATATTCAATGTATTTATTTATCAGAGATATTTACAGTATTTATTTATCACAGAGATATTTACAGTATTTATTTATCAGAGATATTTACAGTATTTATTTATCACAGAGATATTTACAGTATTTATTTATCAGAGAGATATTTACAGTATTTATTTATCAGAGAGATATTTACAGTATTTATTTATCAGAGAGATATTTACAGTATTTATTTATCAGAGAGATTTATTTATCAGTATTTATTTATCACAGAGATATTTACAGTATTTATTTATCACAGAGATATTCACAGTATTTATTTATCAGAGAGATATTTACAGTATTTATTTATCACAGTATTTATTTATCAGATATTCACAGTATTTATTTATCAGAGAGATATTTACAGTATTTATTTATCAGAGAGATATTTACAGTATTTATTTATCAGAGAGATATTTACAGTATTTATTTATCAGAGAGATATTTACAGTATTTATTTATCACAGAGATATTTACAGTATTTATTTAT